TAATAGTTAGCACAGGTTTTTCAGTATTAAACTTCAGTACCTAGAGTCTAGACTCTAGAGTGAGTGAGCATTGAGCACATACTTATTTCTACATATTGCTCAAAAATGGTTTTGTTTTTTTCTTTTGATAATCTTTTGTAATTCACATTCTGAATTTAATATCCTCGGGTTTTATTAGTCTTTCTGCTGTAACAGTTTTGAGCATTTCTTTGTAATAATTACGAAGAACAGCCACATACAATAGCGTGTCGTGCTTATAATGCCATCCATGTTTGTTAATTATTTGTAAATAGGTAGAAGGCTCATTTAGCTTCAAATTTGTAAATAAAAGGTCAATATTATTGTTGTTTATCGAATTAAATTTGATTGCGACGATCGTAGTAATTTTCAATAGGATTAGAATTAATTTGATATCTCGCTTAGCTTGTTGCTCTGTTTGTACACGTAGCAACGGATCGATTTCTCCGAAGGGTTTATATTATTTTAAGGCAGTAAAATTGGTCCTGTCATGAAATGTTTAATTCTTCAGAAATCGAATTCAGTGTAACGATATTTGTAAATTTATTTTACATCCTCGGCGCCGATGGCGGACGACGATAATCTTTTGTAATTCACATTCTGAATTTAATATCCTCGGGTTTTATTAGTCTTTCTGCTGTAACAGTTTTGAGCATTTCTTTGTAATAATTACGAAGAACAGCCCCATACAATAGCGTGTCGTGCTTATAATGCCATCAATGTTTGTTAATTATTTGTAAATAGGTAGAAGGCTCATTTGGCTTCAAATTTGTAAATAAAAGGTCAATATTATTGTTGTTTATCGAATTAAATTTGATTGCGACGATCGTAGTAATTTTCAATAGGATTAGAATTTGATATCTCGCTTAGCTTGTTGCTCTGTTTGTACACGTAGCAACGGATCGATTTCTCCGAAGGGTTTATATTATTTTAAGGCAGTAAAATTGGTCCTGTCATGAAATGTTTAATTCTTCAGAAATCGAATTCAGTGTAACGATATTTGTAAATTTATTTTACATCCTCGGCGCCGATGGCGGACGACGATTTGATAATTTCGAAAAATATTCCCCTTGGAAGCCAAATTATTTTTGCTGTCAGTTAAATAATGTCATTTCTTTTACAAAAATATCACTAGCACATTCGGAAGAACTCGACTGGCTTTTCTAACCTTGCTAATTGCTTAATTTTCTAGATCGTCTTCAAAATTTCTTTATCCGTTTTGGTAACTAACAAAGTACAACCTATTTGCCTTCGGCTTGATACTCACACTCTCCGTCTCATTTATTCCATTCTCAATGCCAAACTTCATATGTTATATTTTTTATATTTAGGTGGTGGGCAAACTAGCCGGATACTTACGGCATACTGCCCAGCGCACGGACACCTAGTCAATGTATAAGGGCATGGAAGTTTCTAACCAGTAAGGAACTTGGAAATCTCTCTCGTTCTCTTTATGAGGTAATCATCGCATCGCATCGCATTTCATGAATATTATTACTGTATTGCCTGGGAGGGCTCGCTTGTAAGTGATACCGTTGCCCTCCTAATAAAACTTAAAGTGGCACAGCCGTACTATCCTCTTCTCGAAGCAGTTCAGGCCATTTTCGACCCCCTATAACTTCGTTATAGATAAAACTAGAAGCCTGAATTTTCAGTTACCAAGCTAAGATTGTATTAACACAGATATTTCATTCAGTTTGAAGTATACCGTATTTATACAATAGTTTAAGAATTATTTAAAGAAAACACTTTCTTAACGGATTGAAGCTGTGTATTATTATAAACTTATAATTATTTTACATAATTTTAAATTTTTCCGACCTTTTTTTTCTTTATTTAAATGTGTAAAAGTTATGTTAATAAAAAACAATATCAAGAAAAAATACTAGATTTTTTTTTTAAATTTTGTCAATCACTGACTGACCGATCATCAAAACTCTAAGGCACTTGCAGATATAGAAGTTTCAAATTTCGAACACAATCAAGTCAATCTATCGTCGCTGCAGAATGATAACCTCGTATGTCCAAAGAACCAAACATTACAGGAAACGATAAAAATGATTCATTTCGTCAATGTTCTTAAATATTTATATATTTATATGTATTTTTGTGAAAAATTTCTAGATGGTAAAAAGGACTTATTTCTTAATAACATAAATAAGTTCTTACTTCATGATTATACCCGTTAAATGACATAAGAGTCTAAGAATAAAAAAAAAAAAGGGTGCGTGTACTTATGTACGCGCGTAAGAAGTTATACTTCTTTGGCATTATTATAAATAGTTTGGCTTTGTTCCACCTCCAGTTTTTGATGTTTCACAGCGATAAAATGACAACTCTTTTTTTGTATTCAATTTAGTGCACTTACACTGATTCATCAATTGTTTTTTGTCTCTTTTCCTTATATTTGCTAGATAAAATCAGAAAAATTACATGTTTTGATTAAACAATGTGGTTAATTTTTTAATCAAAACATTACTCGATAATAATAATAATACATACGGATAGTTAACCTCAATTGTATTGAAGGATTTAGGAAGGTTGATAAGCACAGTTTTTTCACAAATATTAATTAGTATTGGTTTAAAATTTAAATATTCAATTTAAATCACTTCTGATTATAATTCAAAAAGCATCGCTAAATTTCTTTGAAAAAATAATTAAAACTCCTTTATTTGTTTAAAAGGTAAATGACAAATGTCATTATGGTCATTCAAAATTCTTGGCATACGAACTTCACGCATATTCTATTTCTTTTTACTTGTAGATTGTCTTATTCCTATCTCGCTCGCGCACGCTATAATCACACTCCTAATTTTGTGTCACGGGTGCGCGCGCATTGTAAAATTTCACTTTCATAAATTTTTCATAACGCGCCTAAAGAAGTATAACTTCAATAAATAGTTTTTTTGACATACGAGATTATCATTCTGCAGTGACTATATATTAAAAATATATTGTAATATATATTCAGTATAAGATGTCAGCTAATTACGTAATAACTTAAAACAAGCTGCGGTAAGTAGGGACTGAATAAATTGACCGACTTGGTATTACATGGATCTCATAACTTTTCACGGTAGAAGAACTGCGTAGCGAGTTTTAGTTTTTTACTAGTTATGTTCTTGATGGCATTCACTTTGTTCAGATGTCATTAAACATTGATCAACCGCTGATACTGTTGACACGGTATCACTTGAATGTTTAAGCTGGTGGTGGTGGTGCACGATATTCCGATTATTTACTTTAAAAAATATAAAGTTTTAATATATCAAAGTATATAATTATCGTAGTGTAGTAGTTACCACTTATAACTAAGCATGATTACAGACTGAATTGATAATAGGAAAATTACAGTTTAAAATAAAGCAATATTAAAGGTAAATTTATTTCTGATATTAAGTGAAGTCAGTCAAATAAAATAATTCAATGGTTCGGAAACTCATTAAATATTGGAACTATATTGACTTTGCCTATTAAACGAATGATGAATGATGAACTATTAACGAGTTTATTTACAATTCATTTGTAATCAAATATTCATATCTATTTGTATTATAATTCATAGTGGTTTTTAAACAATGCTTAATTACCATCGCTGCGGTATCACGGGTGTATAAATTTCTGATGTCGCAAAATTGTATAGATATTGCAACCGAAGTGGCTTTTAGAAGTAGTAATGATAGTAGTCCCCTATCGCCTATTGCCTAACATAAACAATAGTTTTTTCTTATTTAATACATTCTTTGTTAAAAGCTTTTACTTATAAACGTCCTATAACTGTAATAAACGCGTAATATCCGTGAATTTTATAAAAATATCCCTAATTTGAGGGCTATTTTAACTACAAAACCACCTCTACAACCTGAGTTGGTCTTGGCCTTAGATTTATGTATCATTTGTTTTCTAATAGGCGAAGTGATCAGCCTTATGTGCCTGACACACGATGTCGACTTTTTGGGTTTAGGGCAAGCCGGTTTTCTTACGATGTTTACCTTCACTACAGTAAATAGTGTTAAAGAATTAATAATAAAGTCAATTACTTCGAAGCTACGACCTCAGGAGAATGGCTCAAGTCACTACGCCAACACAGCACTACAACATTTTAATCAGTCAAATTGTACCAGTTTCTCACTCACCACAACTCTTTAGAGTCTTTAGCACTCTAAAGTGTAATATAATATACAGAAAATACCTACTATATATCTAGGAGTATCAATAGATCGACACTTCATTTGAGAAAAGCACAGATGATGCACAGTCTTCTAGGGTCAGAAAGCCTACGTATATCGTTAATCGACTGAAACGAGTATATATATAATAATTTATATAGCACTTTGTCAGTCCATCCTGACATACTCTCTACCTGCATGGGGAGGAACTGCTGAATCTTCGCTGATTAAGTTTGAACGTGCACAAAGAGCAGTTCTCCTTGCCTATGGCAGACTGTTTAGATAACCCACAGGCAAACTCCACCTAGAAACAAAAACATTTTCAGTAAAAAAGCTATATATCTTAGCGATCTTTTTAAGTTATCACAAACTCTATGGGCTAACAAATCCGGACATCTAAGACGTTATGTATTCCCGACGCCGTAATGAAGGCTTTACGGTAGCCGAATTGGATTTCGAATACAGCTACACTCTCAAATGCATATGCATACACAGTACACACCCATTCACAACACATTCACTCATACTTAATGTCTTTACTACTTGTGTTTGATTAGTTGTAACAGTAAACTACTTTTTCTTTTAAAAAAATATTTTAAACATGCATCATGTACAACGAAATAATTGTTATCTAGTTACCCACAACACAGGGACTCCCTAGTATGGAGTACTAGCGATAGATTAATTTTGTCACAACCATTTTTCTGTCATGAATAAAGTTTTTATTATAATAATAATTTGCGTTTCTATCCGTTATTGCTGTTTTATTAGCGCCAAATTAAGTGATTTAAATATATTTATTGTCCACAGGCCGTTGCTTGCCGGTACTCTGCATACACCTGTTTCACATGTACGGGCTGATTTCGCACTTCAAGCTGGACGTGGCTAAGGCCTGGAAGCTGTTCAGCATGATCGAGGACGGTTATCACAGCTCCAATCCGTACCACAACTCGATACATGCAGCTGATGTGACGCAGGCGATGCATTGCTTCCTGCAACAACAGCGGGTAAGAGATCTCTTAATTGCAGCTTGTGACCTCTCGTGTGTCGCAGTCCATCCAGACAAAGTTGCCTAAATTAAATCCGCGCAATCTTAGGAAGTTACGGGATAGCAAATAAAAATGAAAAATATAAAAATGGACCAGTGTGGGCGTAGTCTTAAGCCCTTAGGCCCTAATTATATAGCCTTAACGTATAGGTTTAAGCATGCAAACTATCAGGTCATTAAATCCCGGCTGTGCTAAGGCATTTCTCTATTTGCTCGGACGTGAGGAAATCGGCCTAAGGAATCAGACCCACATATCAAAATATCAGATACAAAAGGCACTTTTCATCAACCTGTCTTTAAAGGAAGACGATCAGACGGGTGCAATCTGATAGCAGAACCCATATAGGGTTGAAATGACACTGAATTAGATCACTATACGACGTAAAAATACTAATTCATTTAAGTGTCAGGAGTGATGAGGTGCCAATTTATTTTATATATTATATTTTAGATAGAACCTCATACCCTATTTTTAAATCATTGTGAAAAATCGTTAATTAATATGAGGTATACCTGTACGTGGCAGACCGAAACATCGTGTTTCATGCATCCCTGAAAATATTATATAAAATCATTTTAATAGATTTAGTTCTCGCTTCGATGAGATGAAGTTCTACGTTCATGGGATAATTTGATTACTAATTGAACTGGAACTAACTAGTAACAATCTCAGAGAACAAACAACAGGATGTAGTTTGACCTACAGTACCTATCGTGTCCAATTATTAATTCAGAACAACTATATTAGAGTTATACATACGCATCCACTTAAAGGAATACAAGTAAGAGTATCAATTAAAGCATGTAACACTTTCATACATCGCTCCAGATACCTATAGGTAGTAATGTCTTATATAAGAGAACGTTAACAAACCTTCAAATATAAGTTGGCCTGGTAATTAAAAATATATAAAGTAAGAAGACGAAAGAATTTTGTTAGACGTTTTAATATTTTTGTTTATGTATTAGTTAATATTCAACAATTAGTTTTTCATATGCTTAGGTATATATATATACGTAGCTATATATATATATATATATATATATACGTAGCTATATGTTTTATGAATTATCTCTGTTTGCTCGTCCAAACTTTGGCCTGTTTGTGGGATTTGAGGCTTGTTTGAAAATCGTGCTTTACAGCACTGTCCATGATATTACGTGTATTAATTCATACATTATGTTGGAGCACGTCCGACGAAGGATTATGAATCCCCTTTAGAGGAGTTTCATATTAAGAACTGTATATGCCAGAGGTGCTAGGAATTTTGATGGACATAATAGAGAGGAAATATTAAAATAATTACGAATACATTTAAAATTACTAGACCAATATGAAAAATTATTTCACAAAACTTTTCAATGCTACATTATTCCTGAGTAACGTGGATGTTTAATCCATTATTAAAAATAAAAGTCCAAGAGTGCGAGGCCGGGTCAGTAATAATTATTTATGGTAAATATTAAAAGACTAATAATGGGATTGATTAAGCGCAAACGGCACTCGTAAAATCAATTATTGCTGTAGAGCTATAAAAAATATAATTGATTTTATAGATGTCTTATTCACTTAAAAATCTTTTTCGGAATCGATGGAAATAATTCTAGTGAAAACGGAAACGAATTAAATAGCATGAGTAATACGAAAAAGGATGTTAGATGCATCTCAGTGAATCGCAAAGGAAAGTCTTTTTCCAATTCGTTGTTTGTTTTTTTTGTGTGCTATAAGTCAAGTGGAAACTCAAAAGGTTTGAATTTGTTTTTAGTCCTACTTGTAAAGGGAAGTTTTGTTGTGCAACGAGACTTTGTTTTTCACATTTAAAAGAATTATTTCTGAACCAATTCGACTGGGTAGAAATCTACAAGAAAACAGCTAACGGACCGACGACGCACTCGCAAGTCATCTGTCATTGTTGGTGTCTATGGTGTCAAGTGCTTCCTGTTCTAAAAAAAACAGTAATTTTTTATCTCCCCGACCCGAAGCAAATATTGTATGAGGATTATACATTCGTCAATAAATAGTATTCTTTTTACAATATTGACCTGAAACATTAATTCTGGCTTACTACTATTGGTTTTCGGGATTTCGGTCAATCTTATTACGCTGCGTTCCTTGGATCTTTTTCCTTCCATTGTAGCGATCATTGTGAGTTTCAAATTTATAAAAAAGTATCCTCCGTATATGATTATGTAGCGCAGGTTAAAGCTTGCTCGGTAATATCCGTGTCCATTCTTGCGTTTCTTTCTAGTATCATTAATGGCTATTTAACGAACTAACAAATCATATTATCTTGCAATTTAAAGCGAAAATTGAATTCATACATACCGCTGAGGCAACACAAAACAGTGTTAGTTTGTTGCTTCACCTATTCCTGACTATTCACCGCGCTTAAAAGACATACATTTTTCGAATACAGAGAAAAATTATTATAAGAAAATAACGTAATGAGTACGTAAAACAACCTCATGTATTGAATCGGCCTTATGTTAAGTCTCCTGACAAAATTCTTGTCAATGACCTTTTCGTTGCTTTTGGAAACGATGGTTGGGGTTATTAATTTAATTGAATTGAACCGCGTTCACATTATGTGTCTTATTTAATTTAAAAAAATCAAACACTCGCCTACGAAATCGATTCTAACTTTCTCAGCCATGGAGGTATTATATACACAACATAGGCTGTAAAGTATAACTATTTCCTTCCGTTGTTATCTTTTATCGACCTAATTTTTGAAACTCGATACGATCTAAGGCGTGGTTAATAATTAAATATGTTTAAATAAAGCCCTAAAACGTGACCAACGCGAAAAAAAACAATTTACACGAGTGAGGTCAATGTCCGAGAAATTGTGCTTGCTTTTAGATTAATTATAATATAATAGTATTTTTCAATGCCTCAGCTGTCTACGAATATATTTGTTACATACCAACATATGGAACATTTTGCTACGATACCCCATAGCCTTCGCTTTTCCGGAATTAAAACCTAAGAAAAGAGATGGACCTATCCCAAAAGGCCGGCAACGCACTCGCGAGCCCTCTGGCAATGAGAGTGTCCATCAGCGGCGGTATCACTTAACATCATGTGAGCCTCCTGCCCGTTTGCCCCCTATTTAATGTAAAAAAAAAGAATAAAGAACATACACGAATGTGTCTAGCCGTCTTCGAGTTTACAGCTTAGCAAATTTTTTAGCTATTCATTTTTATTTGTATAGATAAAGCCAAATCATATTTCAGATTCAGACTAGTAGATTTAGTTTCTTATGAAACTTAACGCCAATCTGTCTTGCCAATAACGAGAAATCATTTATTATTATCTGTGCTGGATCATTTATTAATAGAGTCCCTTGCCATAGCTTTCGTAAACGTAGTTTTTGTTTTTTCATCGTAATAAGGTTCTAAGCTAGCTTTTATTATGCGCATGGATTATTCAATGCTAAGCCAGAGTTTGGAAGGCTGATCACATGCTAGCTAGTTGATCTGTGCATCGTGTGCAGAGTATTTAATAGATACTGACTTTTTACTATAAGCATTTTAGTTATTACTTTTAAATGTGTTTTCTACAATAAACAGAGAGGTAAAAATGTAAAATTAAAGACGCAAGAGGAAACGTTGATTTTGATTCTGAATAGTCAACAAATTTAATAATATTAGGTCCTTACATGTGAAATTGGCGTTTTGTATGGGAGGAACAAAAAGTCGAATATTTTTAAATATAATATATTTAATTAATCAAAGTATAAACCATTGCTTTCTATGCATTTTTGCCATCTCATAGGTAGTTCATTGATCCCTTTACTAAAAAAAACAGTCGGACGGGAATCAATAAAATCTGTGAAGGCGATTTGGACTGCCCCATCAGATTTAAATTTTTTCCCTTGCAAGAAGTTGTCCAAATTTCGAAAAAAATGGTAATCTGTTGGAGCAAGGTCCGGGGAGTACGGAGGATGACTTAGACATTCCAATTGAAGCTCTTCTAATTTGGTAGCCGTCTTTTGTGCAGTGTGTGGTCTAGCGTTGTCGTGAAGTAGCAGTGGCGTGGAGCGATTGACCAGCCTAGGTTGTTCCGCTAGCTTTTCCATCATGGTTTGCAATTGCTGACAATAGACATCAGCCGTAATAGTCTGGCCAGATTTGAGAAAACTGCAATGAAAAATACCGGCACTAGTCCACCAAACGCTTACAAGTAACTTTTTTGGGGTTAATTTTCGCTTGGGGCAGGATTTGGCTGGCTGGCCAGGATCCAACCATTGTGCTGAGCGCTTCCGATTATCATAAAGAATCCATTTTTCATCACAGGTAATGATTCGGTTTAAAATACCTTCATTATTGTGCCGGTTCAGTAATGTAACGCAGCAGTCGATGCGCGTTTGCCGGTTTGCTTCAGTCAATTCGTGAGGTATTCAAGTTTTTTAATCATCCCAATTTGCTTCAAGGGAATTAAAACAGTTTTATCACTAACACCGCAGCCTGCAGCTAACTCGGACGTGGTTTGCGTAGGATCCGCTTCCACAATAGCCTTCAATACTTCATTATCAATCTCAGGCCGTCCACGGGGCTTGTTCTGCAGGTCGAAATTTCCAGAACGAAAACGTTGGAACCAAAAACGAACTGTGTTTTCTTTTGCAACATGACCCCCATACACATCATTCACCCTTCGAGTCGTTTCCGGAGCACTAGTGCCACGGCGGAACTCGTACTCGTAAATAATGCGATACTTTAAGTTTTCCATTTTGTAAAATGAGTGACGCAAACAGAAAAAAACAAATGAATGACGGTCATCGAAGCACAAATACATGAGTAGAGTAGAAATAGCTGTACAAATTTGAATTTGGAATTCCTTACCAAAGAGGAGAACATCGTGATTAAAGTGGCCAGTACGAAATACGCCAATTTCATATGGAAGGACCTAATATAACGTATCATGTTGCGTTTTAATGAGTTGACCAGAGTTGCCGTTAACCTATCAAAATCCAACGGAGCGCACAATCGCTTAGTTCGACGTTCAGTCTCGTTTTAAATTTTAAC